CCGGTCCTGGTGCTGGGTTGCTCTAAGCCCTGAGGCTCCAAATAGCCCAATGTAGGTACTATTTACAGACTTTAAACCCCAAAGTAGGTACTATTTGATCACTTGGAGCCCTAGGGAAGGGCGGTGCAGACAACGCCATGTCAGCGATCACACCGCAAAAAAGGTCCTCTGCCCTGGGCCACTTCTTCTCAACTCGTCCAGAGTATGTATATATATATATATGTATGTATCTATATATATATATGTATATATATATATATGTATGTATATATATATATACATATATGTATGTATCACACACACATATACCTGTGGCCACAAAAGATCTACATGTCAAGGAACTCTCTCTCTCTCTATATATATATATATATACATACATCGAAAGCATAGTAAGGAACCCCACAAAGGTAGGTCTTTGCGGCTACAGGTCTAATTATACTCTGTAGGGTCAGGGTTTACGATACAGGGTTTTGGGCCTGTCGATTCCTGGATGAGTGACCCTCGGGTGCCAACCAGCCACGAAGGCAATCCCACCAACTCCACTTATATACTTGACCAAAAAGCCAGACAAATAGAAGGTTAAAATTCACATTACTACTGAACTACAAGAACTCAAAGAAGTTTAAACGTTGGGCATTGGAGAACTAAGTCTACTTAGGGTTGTATAGGCTTGCGGGTTTAGGGTCAGGGCTCTTTTCGGGGCCTTAAAAAGGCCCAACACAGCTTTCTACAAGGGTTTCGGGGCTTCAGGAGTTCGGAGTGTATTTTGGGTTAAGGCTTATTGCGGTTAGGGTTTAGGGCAATGGCTTTTTTGGGGCTTATTGTTCTGAGGGCTTTAGGCATTGTAGGGTATCGGGATTACGGCTTTAGGGGACCAACCCCTGAACACTAAACACCAGGGTTTAGGGTTTAGGGTTTAGGGTTTAGGGTTTAGGGCCCGAAACCCTAAACCGTGTTCAACTTTCTCCGGTATTGGCTAAGTAAGTGAAACCCTAAACCCCTAAACCTGTTAAACCCAAACTCCTGAACACAAATCTAAACCCTAAACCCTAAATCCGAAGCCCCGACCCCCGCCGCCCCCCCAAGTCGCCAAGAACCCGATGCCTCGGCCAGGATGGTAGCTCGCTCCTCCAAAGCAATGGCTTGGTGTTTTTGTTTAGGGTTTAGGGTTTAGGGTGCAGGGTTTTGGGGTTTAGGGGTTTATGCTCATCGTTTAGGGTTTAGGGTTGCTCATGGCTTAGGGTTTAGGGTTGCTCAGGGTTTACAGGCCTAGGGTTGCTCATGCAAACAGAGAACACAAATCTTGCTGTCCACTTGTGCAGCATGCACTGAAAACAGGCAGGAAGAACCATTGCTCAACACAAAACGTCACCCATGATTTTCCTCCTTGTGGGCAAAGCGTCGCGCTCAGCCTGTACAACTTGGCACATCGATGAGCTGTCATGTCGGATCAAAACCATACCAGCGCAAGCGCCTCAAAAGCTAGGCTTTGCCGGTCTGTTGCCAAGTTGTCCACAGCAGCTCCTATCGAGCCACGTTTAGGTGTCAAACCCCTCTACAATCAGCGAGAGCTGCTCCTGACCCGTATTGATTGTAAACTTGATGGTTTAGGGTTTAGGGTTTAGGGTTGATTGTAAACTTGTGTAATGGTCGCCTCTTTACAATGTAATCGGGGCTTAAGGACTAATCATTACAGTTGTGGGTCTGTGGTGACGACCCTTTCCCTGTTAACTTGGATATGACAATGACTGCTTCGAATGTTCGGGTAGACAGGTATCATGAATCAGCAGCCAGGCCGTGCGCTCACAAGCTGCGCACCGTTCCTGGCAGTTTATACAAGCTGGATTCTGCCCGTCCGGCTGTGTCACAACACTATCGGTGAGGTGACTCTAGACTCGAGATATTTCTTTCCAGCGATCACCCCAAATCTATGAATCATAAACCCTATGATCCAAGCTCCAATATAGAGGCCTGAATAATTACCAATACTATTTTGGCGGATTCCTTACTCTCATTACATATAGGATAATGGGCCCCAAACCCTATTCTAATTATTAAGGCCACTGTATTAAGCCCTAATTAAACCGTAGACCCTAAACTCTAAACCCCCAAACCAATGATATGAGCCCTTGATAAACCGTAAACCCTCAATCCTAAACCCTAGACCTTAGGATCTAAGCCCGAATTAAACCGTAAACCTTAAGGCCCGAAAGCCTGAAACCCCTATGAACGACTGCTCTACTCAGCCCCTAAACCCTAAACCCTAAACCCTAAACCCTGAACCCTAAACCCCAAACCCTCTAAACCCCAAACACTAAACCCTGAACCCTAAACCCCGAACACTAAACCCTAAGCCCCAAACACTAAACCCTAAACCCTGAACCCCAAACACTAAACCCTAAACCCTGAACCCCAAACACTAAATCCTAAACCCCAAACCCTA